TATTACTATTATTTTTATTGTGCTTTAGGTGAAAGTTTACAGCTCAAGTTAGCTTCTCATACAAAAATTTATACACACGTTGTTATGTGTCCCTAGTTGCTATCACTATAATGTGACCTGCACATTCCTCCTTTCCACCCCAGATTTCCCATGTCCATTCAACCAGCTCCTACCCCTTTCTGCCTTCTCATCTCGCCTCCAGACAGGAGTTTCCCATTTAGTCTCATGTATCTACTTAAACTAAGAAGTACACTCTTTACGAGTATCATTTTATGTCTTATAGTCCAGTCTAATCTTTGTCTGAAGAGTTGGCTTCGGGAATGGCTCTAGTTTTGGGTTAACAGAGAGTCCGGGGTCCATGTCTTCTGGGGTTCCTCCAGTCTCAGTCAGATCATTAAGCCTGGTCTTTTTATGTGAATTTGAGTTCTATACCCCACTTTTCTCCTGCTCCGTCAGGGACGCTCTGTTGTGTTCCCTGTCAGGGTGGTCATTGGTGGTAGCTGGGCACCATCTAGCTCTTCTGGTCTCACACTGATGAAGTCTCTGGTTTATATGGCCCCTTTTGACTCTTGAGCTAATATTTTCCTTGTGTCTTTGGTGTTCTTCGTTCTCCTTTGCTCCCCGTGGTTTGGGACCAGTTGATGCATCTTAGATGGCCACTTGCTAGCTTTTAAGACCCCAGATGCCACTTCCTACTATTTCTAAGGTATGTGCAATATGCACCTACAGCCACTAGAGGTTGCCTGTCTTCTCTTTTTGTTCTTCTGAAACATGGACATTAACCTGTGAAGATTCAGGATACAGGTATTCCCTGCTTTTCCAAAGTTCGCTTTATGCCCCTTCACTTTTACGAAAGACATTAGTACCTGTTTTTGCTAACTGAAAGAAATCCAAAAATTTTCGCTTTTACGAAAAAAGGCAAAGAGCAGAAATAGCGTTCAGCCTTTGTTTTACAGCTAGCCTAGAAAGGCAGCGCGCACCTGGGAGCAGGAGAATGGCGTCGCCAAGCCCCTTCCCCAGGAACTACACTCAGCATTTCTGTTTTCAATATATTTTAGTATTATTTAATATGATTTTGTAGCTTATTTTTTGGGTCTATGAATGCGCAAAAAATTTTCCTATATAAATTAATGGTAATCGCTTCTTCGCTTTATGCCATTTCGGCTTACGGTTTCATAGGAATGCTCTACTTTCGGATAGTGGGGAAAACCTTTAATCCATTTAGGAGCTAATGTTCTATTTAAAAAATACTTCGATTTCTTGATATTAACACACTGTTTAAAAAAGAAACTAGCAAATAAACCTGCCCAAAACCAAAACCTCATTCAAATGAAAACTTTAGTTTACTAAGCCTGTGTAAACTGAAATTAAAGCCTGCACTTAACTGTTGGCATACTTTTACATGTAAACCAATAACCTGGCCTACAATTATAAAAGAATGCTCCGTTTTAATTTTGCCACAGAGATAAAAGAGATACTTTACTGGTTTAATGTAATATGTAACTTTCCTGATAATCATAATTACTGTTTTTATTTTGGTGCACAATGGAAGCTGTACTGTAGAGTAAGAAGGGAAATCTAAAACCTGCAAGAGTGCCAGTTTGTCTGTGTGTGTCTGCATGTGTGCGTGTGTGTGTGTGTGTGTGTGTGTGTAGAAGATGGAAACCATCAGGAATAGCACTCAAATACTGTTGACTGAACAATATTTCCTTTATCATCTGGATTTCTAATCAAGTAATGACATAAAAGATAAACATTGAAATCCCAGTTAGGAGTATATTTAGTTTATGTGCTAACGTTTGATAAAAGAAATCACAACTGTGAAACATCAAACTTCTAAAATAATTTTCACAATCAAAACCTTGATTCCATCCTAAATTGATGAGTCAGGAACGCTGCAAAACATGAGAAAAAGAATCCCTTTGACATTCCATACTGACTAGTGCAGTTGACTTGATCAGGTCACCGAACGTCTCTAGACTTTACTTACCTCTCTAGGGATGGGGTGGAAACTGATATTTTCAAGGGTCCCTGTAGTGCGAATTGTGTATTAAATCCTAAGTGCTTACGGAGCACCTAATAGTGTGTTGGAACCCTGGTAGGTAGTGGTTAAGAGTTCGGCTGCTAACCAAAACGTCCGCAGTTCAAATCCACCAGGCGGTCCTTGGAAACCCTATGGGGCAGTTATACTCTGTCCTATAGGGTCGCTACTAGTCGGAATCGACTCGGCGATAACGGGTAACGGATTTACGTGTGTTGGCCCAGTCGAGGTTATCAGGGTGTTCACAGATGCAGGAAACACCAAACCTCAGGGCCCCACTTTCCGTTAAGCGCTTCGTCCCACGGCTGGAGGAATGAATCTGGGGGAAGGCGCTCTCCCTGCGGTGCAAACAGTCCGTGTTGTCGCCAGGTCTCCAGGGGCAGCAGGCACATGGCGGAGAGGGAAGGAAAAGGAAGCTAAGTTCTGACTCCTGCCCTGGACACTTGCTACCTGGACTGAGAAACGTCACCAACTGGCAGCAAGCACCAAGAAAGGTGAAGCGTCCACGGGCGCGAGACCGCAGTTTCGGTGCCGCAGCACCTCAGCGCACCAGCCCCTGGACTTTACCTGGCGCTCATCCGGGTCAGGCTTGACTCGGAAATGAGACCTCCTCAGAGCGGAAGGCCATTAAAGCTCTCGGGCAGCGTCCCTACTGCCCCCACGAAACGCTAGCCAAGAGGGTCTACCTAAGCCACCACACAACCGTTCCTCAACCACAGAACACCCACAACTCCTACCAGTTGAGCCTCTGCTCTCGCGATACTTCTAGAACCACGCCCCCTCCATCTGCCAATCAATCATGAGTTGGGGGCGGGGTCTTTCTTTTGAGCCGGGAGAGGGGCCTTCAATCCTTGCTCTCTGATGTTAAGAATGGGCGGGGCTGAGGCGGGGCTACGACAGGGGTGGGGCCGCGAGAGGGGGAGGACACGCACGCTATCTCGCGAGATTCGAGACCAGGAAGACGCCTGCAGAGCCCGGCTGTTAGTGCAGCTGTGGTTGAGGAAGCGGGCGCTGCTGCATCAGGACCTTGTGCTTCCGAGCCACGCCTGGTCTCCAGGTGGGGAGGCGTGACGGGGCAAGGCCGGGCCTGTGGTGGCGCGCAGTGCCCGCTGAGGTTTAGGGAAGATTCAGACCAAGGCCTGTCAGAGCCAGTCAGGGAGGCGCCCACCCTCCTGACAGGATAAGATGGCGGCGATGGCGCCTGGAGGTGGCAGTTGTGGCGGCGGCGTGAATCCATTCCTCAGCGATTCGGACGAGGATGAAGACGAGGTAGTGGCGACTGAGGAACGGCGGTCAGGACTTCGGCTGGGTTCCGGGGCTGGCCTGGATCCTGGCTCTGTGGGCTCGCTGTCGCCACAGGATCCCGTGGCTTTAGGGAGCAGTGCGCGACCGGGGCTCCCTGGGGAAGCGGCTTCGGCGGCGCTGGGGGGCTCCGGGGAGACCCCGGCCCGACTGTCCATTGATGCGATCGCGGCTCAGCTATTGCGCGATCAGTACTTGCTGACGGCCCTGGAGCTGCACACCGAGCTGTTAGAGAGCGGCCGCGAGCTGCCTCGGCTGCGCGACTACTTCTCCAACCCCGGCAACTTCGAGAGGCAGAGCGGGACCCCGCCGGGGGTGGGAGCTCCGAGCTTCCCGGGAGCAGCCGGCGTAGGAGGCGCTGGAGGCCGGGAGCCGAGTACCACGTCGGGCGGGGGACAGCTCAGTAAGTGGAAGCAGCCTGATCCCCTCTGTCGGGGTGTTGGGATTGTAAGGAGTTGAGGTGAGGGAGGAGTATTTCTGGGCGGGACTCACTAGAGGAACGTTTAGGCTGCGCAGAGTCGGGGGAAATCTTTTGCAGTGGAAGCAGAAGGATCTGGCAGTCACTGTTCTGCCTGCCTCCAACCCTGGGCTGGAGTCGCACTTGGTCCTGGTCCACCCGTTGGTGTTGGTGTCTATAAAAATCAAGAGTTTCTAGTTCACTGGTTATTACGGCACTCCAGTAGGCTCCCTTGTAGACTTATCGCTTTAAGCATGTTTCGTTTTTTCTCTAATCTCCCGAATCATACTATGCTAGGAAATAGTGATTCTTAGAATACATATCCTCAGTAATTCTTTGATTGAAAGTACATTGTTTATTTCTCTAGAGTGCGATTTCCTCGATGGCAGGTACCTTGTTTATTTATCTTCGTGTTCTCGTTGGTGTCGTTAGCAAATACTGACAGAGAAAAGAACACGAGATGTCGTGGCTCATTCTGCAAAGTCAGATCCACCCTTTCGACCCTTTGCCTTTGGGTGACTTTTTCACTCAAAAGTTGGGTTTTCTGCTGCAGAAGTTTTGTTCTGTTTAAGTAAATTTCATTCTGTTTCCGTACGTTAATTTCAGTGGTTTCCAAAATTATAGGAAATCCAGGGAGCAGGGCAGACACCTTTTGCCTGATGTTGATCTCATGGTCCCACCACCTAGCAGGCTTTTTTCTCTGCGTAAATTAGGGAATTTACTTTTTTTTTTTTTACCTTGTTATAATCATTTTAGCCTTCTAGAATAATCGTTTACATCCTCCGTCATACATTTAGACACATTTCTTATGGCTTGAAAATGTATGATCGGTGATGTAGCTTAGGATTTCCAGTATCCATATCTTTTGGGAGACGTCTTAGATTTTCCAAAATTGATGGTGTGAGGTGGTTTAGTGTGTTGTATGAGGCCAAACAGAATTCACTAAGGTTAAATGTAGTCTAATTGATTATTTTTTTGCTCTTTTTCTCTATACTTTTGAATAGTGCCAGAGACTTATATTGCCAAACTTTGATGTAGTGAAAGAGCAAAGAGTGCAGTCTATAAAGGTAAACCCTAAACACATTCTCTCTTCGATATGGAATTTTTTCAGTAGGTATAACTTCTTTATTCAATATGTAGGATGATCTTTCTTTCAGAAAGAGATTCCTTATTGCTGTCCTTTAAGACTATAAAATGTGACAAAGAGCAGTGAAACAAAATTATTACATAGTATTTTTTAAAGATTACTAAGTTATTTAATAATGCTCTTCACTTGGCAAGCTGTTACTAATTTATTAAGACCAAGCTGAAATGTCACCTTTATAAAGATTTTCCACACACCCCAGACCTAACTAGTTCTTTCATTGTATGGCTTTCAAACCTCAGTCATAGCCTTTAGCACTTTTGTATTTTATTGGTTGACTATAGTCATTTTTCTTCTTTAGTCTGAGGTGCCCTCCTGATCTAAAAAGATGATTCATTCTAATTGAATAGTATTCACTATTATTTGAAAATCTACCTTGATAACAGAGCAGTTATTTGTAAATTATGTTTGACTGGTACTGTATATTTTTTCCATCATCTTTGAGATAAGACTTAAATACAATAAAATGCACCCATTTTAAGTGTACAGTTTGATTAGTTTTGACAAATGTATTCAGCCATTTAACCAGTACCACAGTTAAAATACAGAACATTTTCATCATCTGCAGAATTCCTTCATGCTCCTTTGCACTCAGTACCTGCAATCCCATCCCTAGAAAACTATGATCATACACACAGGATAGAACAGGGTTTCTCAACCTAGACACTATTGATACCTTGGGCCTGATAATTCTGTGTTGTGGGGTCTGTCCTATGCATTGTGATGCTTAGCAGCATCCCTGGCCTCTACCCACTAGATGCCAGTAACACTATCCCCTCCCCCGCAATTGTGACAACCGAAAATGTCTCCTGACGTTGCCACATGTCCTTTGCAAAATAAATTCTTTTACTTCATTGATTCTATGACACTTTTTTTCCTTCACTTTATAACATCATTATAACACTTTGTAATGTTGGCAGTTTGCATTGCCAAATGCAAAATTTCCCCTGGTTGAGAACCAGTATATATAAGTTTTGCTTGTTCTAAAATTTCATATATATGGAATCGTAAAGCATATATATATAGTATCTGACTTATTTTGCTCAGCATAATATTTATGAAATTTATCCATGTTTTTGTGTGTGTTAGTAGTTCATTCCTTTTTATTGCTGAATATTCACCAAACATACCATAGCTGGTTTATCCATTCATCTGTTGTTAGATATTTGTGTTATTGTCATCTTTGGGGTATTCTGAATAAAGCTGCCATGAACATGCTTGTACAGATTTTTACATGGACATATGTTTTTGTTTCTTTTGGGTAATACCTAGGAGTAGAATTGTTGGATCATATAGTCAGGGTATGTTTAAGTTTAAAAGAAACAGCCAAACTATTTTCCAAAGTGATCGTACCATTTAAAAGTCCCAGCAGCAATGAATGAGCATTCTAATTGCTTCACATTCCCCAAACATTTAATCTTTCTAGTTGCTTTAATTTAATTTATTCTAGTGAAGGTGTGGAGCCCTGGTGGTGCAGTGGTTAAGCGTTGGGCTGCTGACCAAAAGGTCAACAGTTCAAATTCGCCAGCCGCTCCTTGGAAACCCTATGAGGCGGTTCTGCTGTCTCCTGTAGGGTCGCTATGAGTCGGAATCGACTCGATGGCAACAGGTTTCGTTGGTTTTTAGTGAGGGTATAGTGATATCTAGTTGTGGATTTAATTTTCATTTCTCTGATGACAAATGATATTGACCTTCTTTGCCTCTGTTTATTGATTATTGTGTATCTTTTGTTAAATGCCTGTTCAGTTCTTTTACTTATTTTTTAAGTTTTTTTTTTGGTCTCATTATTGAGTTGTAAGAGTTTTTTTTTAATGCAGTCTAGATCCAAGTCCCTTATCAAATACGTGTTTTGCAAATATTTTCTCTCAGTCTGTGGTTTGCCTTTTCATTTTTTTAATGGTGTCTTTTGAACTAAATAAATAAACCAGTTGCAGTCGAGTCGATTCCGGCTCATAGCGACCCTATAGAACAGAGTAGAACTGCCCCATAGAGTTTCCAAAGAGCAGCTGGTGGATTCGAACTGATGATCTTTTGGTTAGCAGCTAAACTCTTAACCAGTGCACCACCAGGGCTTGTTTTTAATATCATGAAGTCTATTTTATCAGCTTTTTTTCAATGATAGGTGCTATTTGTGTTCATCATAAAAAATAGTTGCCTACCCCAAGATTGTAAAGATTTTCTCCTGTATTTTTTTCCAGATGTTTTGTAGTTTTTGCTTTTACATTTAGGTCTGTGATGGATGGAACTGTATTTGAATAGTGTTATTATTTTAAAAGTGAAGGAGGAACTATTCCTTAAAGTTGGGCCAGATGTTTATAGCACATATTTTAATATAGTTTATGTACAGATGCTTTGTATATGTCAAAATATCAATGCCTATAATTGTCTTAATCAAGTCAGAAAATAGATAAATGCTAAAATACTTCTGCAGAACTGTGCGTGGTACCATGTTCTAAAGATTTTGACTAAGCTGATCTGATCATACAAGCTATATTTTAGGAATTCTGAAAATAAATCTTTCTCTAGGGTTGGACTACTGCCCATCCTTAAAGGTCTTCTATATTCAATTCTAGCATGATGGTTGTTGTTAATTGGTATATGATTTTATAATAAAGACTCAGTAAGCACTTTTGGTTGATTATGTTGTTGTTGTTAGGTGCTGCTGAGTCGGTTCCAACTCCTAGTGACACCGTGTACGACAGAATGAAACATTGCCCTGTCCTGTGCCATCCTCACAATCATTGTTATGCTTGAGCTCATTGTTGCAGCCACTGTGTCAATCCATCTCGTTGAGTGTCTTCCTCTTTTTTGCTGACCCTCTGCCTTACCAGGCATGATATCCTTCTCCAGAGACAGGTCCCTCCTGATAAGGTGTCTAAAATATGTGAAACAAAGTCTTGTCATCCTCCCTTCTAAGGAGCTTTCTGTCTGTACTTTTTCCAAGACAGATTTGTTCATTCTTTTGGCAGTCCATGGTATATTCAATATTCTTTGCCAGCACCACAACTCAAAGGCAGCAGTTCTTCTTCAGTTTTCCTTATTCATTGTCCAGCTTTCACATGCATTTGAGGTGATTAAAAACACCATGGCTTGGATTAGGTGCACCTGAATTCTCAAAGGGACATCTTTGCTTTTTAACACTTTAAAGCGGTCTTTTGCAGCAGATTTGCCCAATGCAGTGCATCTTTTGATGTCTTGACTGCTGCTTCCATGGGCATTGGTTGTAGATCCAAGTAAAATGAAATTCTTGACAACTTCAATCTTTTCTCTGTTTATCATGATATTGCTTATTAGTCCAGTTGTGAAAATTTTTGTTTTCTTTATGTTGAGGTGTAATCCATACTGAAGGCTATAGTTGATTACAGATTGTGTAAAAATTGGCTAGAGTGAACTATCTAAAGCAAATTATTTTTCATTGTTTTTGTATATATTTTAATTGGTGTGTGTCAGATTTGAAAATTCAGAGTAATTCAGAATAATAAATGTATACTCTAAAAGCAGTATCCTTTAGTGATGTTTAAAAACAATTCAATTTTATAAGACTCACTGACTTATTTCCCTAAAAATCTGTTGACTATTTAAGGTTAATACTGTAGTATAGAAATGCTTTTAACACACTTTGCTTAGTCTTTATATTGTATTTAATCCTTTCCTTTCTTGACTAGAAGAGTAATCCATATTTACAAAACATATGATTACAAGGTTACATAGCTTTATAAATGTGATGTTTTCAGTAGAAGTGTTTGATACATTGTAGCATCATTGCAATGTTCCTACTAGACCTACTTGATGAACTCATTAT